TTATAAAATATTTACACTTTTCACCCGCATTTAGTTGTGGATCAGAATAATATCTTGAGTATGGTAAGGGTAATTATCTGAGTTACGCCGGCGGTAAATTGTTTACTTCAAGGTCTTTTAACGCGAGTATCAAAACGAAAATTTGGTGTCGATTAAAATGATAAGACAACCGTCAGTCAGTCGTATTAAACTGTATAGTACCAAATACAAAATATTAGTAGTATTTTATTCCTACTTATCAATTAATTTTCATCTTTATTTGACGATATACTGTAGCTGGTCTGAGGTAATTTTCCTACCATTCACACATTTCGGCAACTGATATCAGGATGCATCCATGACACCAAGGAAGCTTGTAGTACCTTGAAAATTGAGATTAGCGTTATCCATCTTAGATGACATCTTAGAGTGTTTCCAGATTTAAAAGAAGAGTAACAATTTTTAAAGAAACTATCAGCAAACTAACTATGATTATTTTGCACTAAACAACACTTTACATCGAATCAATAAAACCGATAATCACATTGTATCTTGTTGTAGGAACTAAACTCCGGCTGACTAATGAGTTTCTCTGTTTTCTTGATCACTTTCAATCACTTTTCCTCATCTTTTTTCTATCCTCTACTGTGAAATGCTTATTCGTGTTTATGTTTATGAGTAAGCTTCATTTTTGAAAACAACTAGACTATAATGGTAGTCTCTTTCATCAGTTATTGTATAATGGAAATATTTTAATGAAGTTTAAATATATACTATGAGTATTTTTTCCTCTTCAATCTACCCATTGGCTTTCCAGAAACTGCCTTATGGTTTTGTTTTTTCTAGATTACTACAGAATAAACCTTTGAACATGATTTTGTCATTTATACCATGTGTGCGCCCAAGACAACAATTAATTTACCGGCAAAAGGTGCGTACCACTATTAATAATAACTGTCTGCTACTCAGTCCGTCTGTACTTCACTTGCTACATGCTATCCTTCGGGAAAGAAAAAATTAATTTGTGTAGTAATATCGACCTTAAAGTTGTTAGTGAAATGGTCCTATCTACTAACTGTTTATTGATGATAATAACGGAGGTGAAGAAAGTGAGAGACACTTTCCAAAACCTCAGCACACTAATATCGTCATATGAGCTGTAATTTTTACATTGAAAAAAATCAGCAATCCTTTTCATAAATTTTAATCATTTCATATCTATATTTTATAACCGCGAACTTTAGCAGGCGAAGTTTTATTATTATTATTGTTTGTCCCTTGGGTTCCTAATGGGACACAGGACTTCAGTAGCACGTCTCCATTCTGCTCTCTTCTCTAAAATCTTTTGAACCTGACTCCACGACAGCCTACAAGCTTTCATTTCGCCCTCACACCACCTCCTCCACGTCACACTCACCTCGTACAACCAACTCGCCGTTCCCCATCTGGGTTCCACTCGAGCGACTGGCGCATGACGTCCCCAGTCGGCCTTCTCAGTGCATGCCAAATCCGTCTCAACTTCCTTCTGCATATTTGTTGAGCGACAGCTTCTTGGTTGGTTCGCTATCCGGCCAGAGTCCCTTGTTGCTTATTCTTTCAAGCCACCTCGGCTTCAGTAACGAGCCAGCGTAGGCAGCAGTTGTTGGTGGATGTCTGTAGTTTGTTGGAAATGTTTTTCCTAACGCTCCAAGTCTCTGAACCATATAGAAACACTGACATGACTGAATCGGTGTTGAAAATCAAGATTTTGTTCACGCTTTATGCTGAGTGCAGAAGATCTCCACATTGGCTTCAGGTTGATGAAGGTCTGTCTTGCTTTTCCCGTCCTGGCTTTGACGTCCTTGTTTGTGCCCGTGGCGCCTGTAGTTGAAACGATGCTGCCTAGACAGGAAGGTGGAAGAGGCTACCTCCTCTAAGCTACTCCCGTTGATGGTGGGTGACTGGAGATTGTTGTTGTTGTTGGTGGTGGTGTTGGTTGGGTATCCTCATCACCTGTCCTTTCTACGTTCACTTGAAGTCTCATCTTCACTGCCCTGCAACATAGAAGCCGTATATATAAGCTAAATGCATGTATACTAATTAAAAAGGTTATTAAATATGTGTTTTTATTGATAGATTTCAACTATGCTAGCATTGAATTAATTCATTACCCGAAATTCAAAAAAAGATTATTATTATTATTTGCCAGCATTACACTTTAGAAGACTTTCCAATGATCATCTGATCTCCATGTGATGTTCTGCTGATATTATCAATTTACTTTATTATAATATTCATCTATATCTTGCATTAAGAATCTTATTTTACATGTTTCACTGAATACATATAACTATTTCAAAGTTGAATAGAGGCATGCGCGTTATTTTCAAAACTGTATCCAAATAAGAAGGCAACTATTTTAATCACTATATCATTTTGTATTGAGTCCAGATTTTTTTAAATCAATCAGATATTATAAAATTCAAGAAAATAAGTAGTCTACTGTATTCAACTTACAAAGTATTGAAAACCATTAGGTGTTTGGTGGTTGTTCTCTTCTTGCTTGAGATTTTCTATCAACAGAATGGACAACATTGATTTCTTCTCTAGTTAGTATGCATCTGTGATTAAAGTTGTATTGAAAGCAAACAATTCTCTACAGGTTATTAAACTAGATGAACTATTTATTTATAATTCCAACTTGACAGGAGTCTGTAGGTAAAATCAATATCATTTACGGACAAGGCTCATTGTTTTGCTTTGTTGAATTTCAACTGTTTGGTAGTTGATTTGAACCATCTTCTTTTTACTGGAGCTAAGGCAGTTAGCCCCATTGAGACTCATACAAAAAATATGTCTCTTTGTCTGGAACTCGAACATACCTGTGGTTACTGATAGTCATTCTGCTTATCATTATTTCGTGACTCCTTGTTCTTCAACACTCTACGTCATATATTTATGTGTGAAAATTGGCATGAAACTTTCTGTAGTGTGCAAGCGTTTTCCACCGCCAACCCAGAGTATCTGAGCCTTATACTTCAGCTACTGACTATATATATATATATCAATTCACTGCTGTAGAATAATGAACGTGCCTGATTAGACTGAAGAACAGCTTGACAATATAATATTGGCAACACTTTATCGAAAAAACTGTTGCTTATGTAACGTTATCTGCTTAGATACAAATGGTGGATTTCAGATTTGAACTTGCACTATCATCTTTAGCGCAGTAATATTTCTGACTACAGCTCAAAGGATGAGCATATTGCACAGTAGTCTGACATTTCTTGTAGTATAGCTATTAAGTATTGCCACTGAAGTAAGAAGTCATGGAAAGGAATTCAGATCTCGGTCTTATGTGTCTCCGTAGCAGTACGTGTGTACAGTAGAACAACAACGTTAACTGTGTTCAGGTCAATCCTCACAACTAACGTAAAAGAGGTAAGTTAGTCGGTAAAGCTTTGAACCTTCACTAACTGCTTGCTCGCCACCCGCCGCTCACCTATTTCTATGTGTAGTGCTAGCTAAAGTAGGCTCATGTTAAATAAACATTGGGGAGGACCATAACAAAACGTTGGGAAATTCGATCAAGTTTCTGACTGCTGACTTCATTCGTACCAAATGGTGTATACTTCTTTGCTACACCACTAATGATAGTAGCAGTCACTGGTATGAAACTCTTGTAGGTGAGGCTTAAAATTTTTTGTAATTGTACAGTGACAGATACTGATTACTAGCTTCGAAGTCTGGAATACTTTCATCGTTCCTCATATAATTATATCTCCTGGCGTCATAAATTTTTATCTACTTTAATATTGTTCTTTTATATCCTTTGCTTCTTGACATTCTGCTGTGTAATATGGTAGAATGAACTGTTGAACTACTGTTGATCAGTTTATTTTTCATTCTCTTTACCTATCAGTTCTCTTGTAATATTGATGCTGTTTGTGAAACAGCATTTGTTGATCTTGTCATGGCCAGCATTATTATGCATCGGTGAGCTATTTAGACTTAAAATGAGATAAGTCTTAATGTGGTGAGGAAAACATACTTAACGACTGTTGTTTAACTGAAGTGTATTTTATTATTTGTTCCTTGGGTTCCTAGTGGAACCTCCATCGCCCCCATTGCACCCTCTTCTCTGCAGTCTGGTTCAACCTGGCTCCACGACAGCCTACAAGCTTTCGTTTCTTCTTCACACGATCTCCTCCACGTCACCCTCGGCACAGACGTCCAACTCGTTTCCCATTCGGATTCCACTCAAGGGCCTAGCACGTGATGTCCCCAAATGGTCTTCTCAGTGTATCTCCAATCCAATCCACCTCCACTTCCTTCTGCATACTTGTTAGGTAACCGGTTCGTGGTTGGTTCGTTGCCAGCCGCAATCACTTGTTGCTTATTCTTTCAAACCATCTGATCTTGAGTACCAAGTGAGCGTAGGCGGCAGCAGTTGATGTGATGTATGTCTGCAGATTGTTTGAAATGCTTTTCCTAGAGCGATAAGTCTTTCAACAATCACACAGAAGCACTGACCTACTCGACTGAATGTGCTGAAAATCCGGATGTTGTTCACAATTTATGCTGAGTGCAGAAGATCTCCACATTGGCTTCAGGCAAATAAACGCCTGTCTTGCTTTTCCGATTCTCACATACACATCCTCGTCAGTGCAGCCTGTAGTTGAAACGATAATGCCTAGACAGGTAGGTGAAAGAGGCTACCTCCTCTAAGCTACTCCCGTCGATGGTGGGTGCCTGGAGATTGTTGTTGTTGGTGGTGGTGGTGCTGGTTGGGTATCTTCATCACCTCTGTCTTCTCTACGTTCACTTGAAGTCCCGTCTTCACTGCCCTGCCCTACCCTGCCCTACCTCTTCTGTCAACTTGTTAGTTTTCGCCTGCAACATCAGACACAGGTCATCGGCGAAATCCAAATCTTCTAGGATTTTTCCCCAGTCCAGCATGTCCCCCTCTTCTCAATCCTCACTGTTTCCTGCATGATACAGTCGACCACAATCAGGAAGATCGTGGGTGCCAGTATGTGACAGCCTTCTCTTACTCCTGTCTTCACTTCACTTCACTTCAAAGGCATCACTGAGCTTCCCACTGTGAATTACTTGGCATGTGGCATGTAGCATCATAAGGCAATATAGTTGTTGAATGAGGTTGATAAAGGTTTGTGTTATTCCGTAGTGTTGAAGCAGCTGCCTGCCAAATTACTTCTCGGTCGACACTGTCCAAGGCCTTTTCAAAATCCATGAAGTTGAGGTGGGTTTGAGAGTTGACTGTCATTCTGTGCTCTGTTCTATGATGATGCGTAGCGTAGTGTTTCAACTTTATCCGCACATGATCTGGACTTCCTGAATCCAGCCAGCCTGTTCCCGTCGTAATTTTCAATTCAGCGCATCTTTTTGTCTCTTCAGGATGATGCAGCATAATACTTTGCTTGCCTTGTGTTGGCAGGAACACGATTCCTCACCAGTTCTTGCAAACACTGAGGTCTCCCTTCTTTAGGAGTTTGACAAGGTGATTCTCCTTCCAATCAGTCGGCAGGTGCCTTCCCTTCCTTCCTTCCTTCCACACCTTCAGCAATAGTGGTGTGGTGTGAGTATGTCCGCTGTTGTCCCTGCGTCTGCTCTCTGTGCTTCTGGCGGGCTTCCATCTTAACCTGCTGCTTTCCCGAATTTCAGCAACCTTATGACATTCACGACTCCACTTCCACTTTTGTCGGAGGGCTTGTGTTCACTGTTAGTTCAGTAGTTTGGCTGCAGGTGGTATTTCTGGACGAGGTGCAGGTGGTGGCCGATTCAAGGGCTTTTCGAAGTGGTCGGCTCATCATTTCTTTGGTTCTTCTTCTTTTGTAATTATATTTCCTTCATCATCTTTTATTGGTTTCAACTGAGTTGATCTCTTCCATCCCAGATAGTAACCTAGTTATTTGTTACAATATTGTCAGGTCTCTCTTACTTGCAGCCTGTTCTGCTTCACTTGCTAATGTGTCGTAGAAGTGTCTTGTCTTTCCATGCACTCTTCTTCACTTCTTTGTCCAGTCTTTTATACTTCGTACTCAGTTCGTCTTTTCGTTGTGCATCCCTGCACTGCATTGCACTGCACTGGTTCATCTTCTGCTTCACCATCTTCCTCTCTTTGCTCTATCAGCTCTCATGTATCCATCGATAGCCATTCCTTGTCTTGTTTCCTCTTCCTTCCTATTACGGTTATGCAGGTTTCCTTCCACATCTCTTTTAATGAGTCTTAGTGTTCTTCCACGCCCGATCCTTCGGGGATGTTGTGCAATGTCTCCCATTTTCTTCTGATGACTGACGGGAAGATGTCCCTTGTAGTTTCATCCATCAATTTCTGCATTTCGAACTTGAACTGTGGTCTGCCATCACCAGCTTCTTTGGAGGCTTTCAACTTGATTTGAAAGGTTCCTTGCACTAGATGGTGAGTGGTGTGAATCTACATCTGCTCCCCTTCTTGATCTGATATGATCTTGTGTCCAGTAGGCTCTGTCTCCACTTTCTTCACGTTGAGATTAAGTCTGTCTGATTTTAAGTGTGTTCATCTGATTATATCAAATCCATGTTTGTACACATTGCCTCCAATCACCAAATCTTTGAATGCGCAGAAATCTGCAGACATTTCTCCACTCTCATTCATTTCACCGAGTGCTTCTCAACCCATGATGAGTTCTCTTCCGCTTTCTGTGTTGTCCGCTCCCAGTTTGGCATACATGTCCCCCATTAGAATGGATTTTGATGTCGCTTACTAGAGTGGGATCTTGATCAGTACTGATTGCAGTTGTCTGTAGAATTCCTCCTTCTTCTCTTGATCTGCATTATTCGTTGGCGCGTGGCATTGAATGACTGTGACTTTCTATCATTCTGAGTTGAATCCATCTTGCTGTCACGATCCTGATCCTGCAGGAGGAAACTGGTTCCCACTGCATGAGAGCCTTCGATGATCTTCAGGACATCATGATAGCCACTCGAAAACTCAGTGTGCTGTGCTCGTGGTTGTCGTCTGGGTGACAATATCGGAGTAGATTACTGACTTTCCAGTTGACATTTTGAAGAGTCCACTTCCATTCCATTTGCCTTCGCAGATTGCTAGCACTTCTACGTCATACCTTCTCATCTCGTTTGCAATCTGGGCTGCCTTGCTAGGTTCAAACATGGTGTGGACATTCCATGTCCTCACGTTTACTTTCGCTTTCATCGAGGGAGAGAAGACACATGGATCAATTGGCTTTCCGAAGACTTTCACCAACCGGTGTCATTTCTTCTCTCCGATTCCAGTGAGGAATAACTTTATTTTCATTTTTTATATTTTATTTGTGCTTTGAAGTTTGTTCAGCGATTGGATTGGATTTGCGGAGTAGGGTTGCTATCCCTATGCCCGACCTCCCTTGCTTATCCGGGCTTAGGACCAGCTAGTACCTAGTGAACTAGTTAACCAGGCGAGGTTGTTTCTTGTATAAGTACATTAAATAGAGTGCAGTGAACATTAGGTTACTAACAGAGTACTTGAAATGAATACTCTTCAAATCGCATTTTCAAAGTGTAGCCTAGTTTAAATAAGATTTCATGTTGTCAGAAGAATGAAGTCGCAGTAGGGTTTTCATTAAACCTACTCTTAGTAAATATCGTTATGTGCAAGCTGAAATAACTATACCCAACTGATTTATCAAACAGGCTAAATTCTAAGGAAGATGTATTGATAATACATTCACTGCCTATGGCAAGAAATTTGATTTTTAGGAAATACTGTTTTTCAAAGAATGTTATACTTCTATCAACTATTCATTGAAGATGCGTGCATATGTCAGTCCAGGTGTTACTTTGAAGCTAGGTGCATTTGCCAACCAATACTGACGTCAACATCTTCCAGCATAACTCAATAAATTCAAGTACAAATTAGTCAATAACTTCATCTTACAGAATTTGGTTGCCATTGGGCACGTAGTTTCAAAAGATAAGTTTACTGCGGTCTAAAAGCTACAGCAGAATTTTCCAAAAAATGTAAGGAAACGTTTACTATACATTTATAAAACTGTTGCAATACAAAAACACAGATCAGAATTCAATATCCAATATCCCTTATCCGTCCTAATATATTTTTAATTCTTAAACTTTTCAGTTCTTAAATTCAACTATCTCGCTTATAACTTTTTTTACCTAATCGCATGAAAATTTTTAACTTAGGTGCTAATTTCTCATTGTTTTATGCATTGGCTTCAATGCATAGCTTTCATTACTCAACTCACACTTGTTTTAGTAAAACTATTACTTCATATTGTCATATCATTTCTAACGTAACTTCCATTCCTACGTTATTTTATTGACCATAACCAACTAGAAAAGTAACGTGTTCACTGGAATATCTGAAGGTTTTGGACTTAATCCTTGGCAGGGTAAAGATTACCCTCTACCAAAGAGCCTTGTGCTAAGAAGAAACAATAGCCTAGTGATCCTAAATTTTTAGCGGTTACCCAACTGGTGTAAGTTCATGATAATAACTACCTTGAAATCTATTGTTAGACATATCATGCTGACATATCTAATGTTGATTTAGCACACTAATTATATACAAACCCGTTTTTATAGCTTTTAAGAAGGATATCACCTAAAACAAACTTATTCGTCAATGCTTTTCTCTTACAGTCTCACTGTAAAATACAGTATGAAATGTATAAGTTTGTGCAAAATAGATTTATCAACTTTAAAGTTACATACTAGTTTCTCACTTTTCGTGTACATTTTTGTGAAATAATGAAAAATCTGTGTTTGTAGAGTAAAATTTGACAACCATTAAAAATTGTCCCTGATGCTTGAAGATAGGTGTTTTGCCTGTGTATATGATTTACCACCCGAACAAAAAATATGTCACATTTCATATTTATGCATGGTTTAAGTGTGTTAGTGTTAATCATAATTATATGCGTACATATTGAGAAAAACGTGTTTTGTTCCAAGCTTAATTTTTTTAAATTTTATTTTGAGAGATTATCCTATTTTCTTTTCGTTATAATTTGCACATTGAGTCATTAGGTCAGTGGATTGTAATTTGTTGACAGTGACCTTAAAATAAACTCATAAATCTTATATTTGTCCTGAGAAATGTAAACATAAAAACATATGTTCCAAAAAGTTTTATTTTTAACTGGTTATTTTGTTATTTCTGTTACTTTCATTCAATTTTTCCTTTTAATTCTTAAATTTTGTCAGTAATTGTCATCGTGACTAATTTCTTAGTCCAACCCACATTTGTGTTTCTTCCCTTTCAAGAAGTCGATTATCAGGTATCGTTTTTTCATTTTGTAACAACCTCAGTACATTTTTTTTTGCATAAATATATTTTAAGGTAACTGTTGAAATAGAATTTCTTAATTTAGATATGACGATTTATGAAGAGGAACAGACATGTCCGATTCTGTCGTCTTTATAAAAATTTAGTACTGAAGATGTTACCAAGCGTAATGATGAAACTTTCACGACAAAACATCAAAGCTGAAAAAACACCAAACCACCTTAATTCTATTCTCATTACATCAACTAGATATTCATGGTTTAAGATATGGTAAGTAGTAGTAGTACTAGTAGTAAGCCATGCAGCTGAGTGACGAGTTTCTCAGAACTCTTGCTGTTATATCTGTATAGACTATCAAATTCATGTGACATAATGCTACAATTCAGCTAACTTTCAATGGTTTCTTTTATATTTCAACAGTGATTTACGTAACACTGAACTCATAGGTGTCCAAAATATTGTCTCATTCTTTTCTCAGAATTATCAGTGGAGCAGTCTACTGAATTCAGTGAGGATTGGTTGAAGTAGGTCATTAGCCAAGTAGAACAATCGATTCTAGTTGATAACTACCATTGTTGTTCAAATATAATGAACAAGGATCTTCAGCTATTCATTACTAGCATCTTATATATCTCAACCGAGTAGTTTGAGTTACCATGATCTAAATGAACCAGAAGACCGAGAAATAAGGGAATGTTGTTAGGTTGTGTATTTGGGATCTAACCCTACAAGGTTGTAGCAAATCCTTTTACTTCCAGTACTCGATGTTGGTATTTGTCTTCCGTACACATTTTTGAAAGGCTCATCAGGCATCCAAACTGTAACACTGAGTTTCATCTACCGAAAGATAACGCTTTCAATTTGTATGGTCAGGATACTTTTCCGTTTACCTTAACTTATCCATGTCAAGCAGATAGGCTTGTTTGTATTGCTCTTGGTTGCATTGGTAATCTTCATGTCATTAGATAAATTTTCAACTTTCTGAAATTCACTTATATGTGCCCTCAGAATGATGATTCTGTGAGTGAGGAATCATTAATAGTTACTTTTTAAATAACTGTAACGTCTGTAGGTGATAGAAATTTTCCAGATGATTTCAATTTGGAACTTAGATGTCATCAAGACTTTTTAAAACACATTCTCTATATTGATTTCACTTAAACTAGTTAAATTTGAATGACGTTTTTTTTACTGTGTAA